GCTGGGTAAGGCGGGGCGGGGGGATCGCGACCCCGAGTTCGCATCTTCCCCCGGCCGGCACTCGTAAGGGGTGGGTAGGTCCTGTGCGGGGGGGCCCAAATCCTGCACCCCGCCTCTGCAGGAGGGTGCTGTGGTTAGTAGCGGGTACCAGTGCGGCTTCTGTAATCCCCCTTAAATGGGTCTGGTAGCGGGGTGACAGTTGAGCCCGGTGTATTTTGTTCTTTTAGTTGTTAAAGTGTTCAGGGATGTTTTTTAAAGAATAAAAATATTTTTGAGCCGGGGCTTTGGATTTGTACTTCAACTCCTAGCTCTTGACTAATGCCTCGCTAGAGTTTCTGTATTCAAGAAGCTTCTGAGGTATTTACAACTTGTGTTTGTGGATAAAAAGAGGGAAAACATCACTTTTTTTTTTAGTTTTAACATTTGTGGAGAATTACTTCCTCTAGATGTAACCAGATTGTGACTAGGCAAAAAATATTTGCTTGAGAATTTATTTATAGTTTTTTGTGAGTAGTCTTACAGCTGTTAGCTCTGCTCCATAAGAATCTGTTTTCTTTTTTAAATTTTTCTCCCAGACTTCCTTCCTCTGAAATGTGATGCATGTGGGGAAGTATTCTGTAAAGATCACATCCGTTATGATGACCACAAGTGCAGCTCTGCCTACAAGAAAGTAAGTTCTTACACAAGTCAGTGATTCACGCTGCAAAATTGCCAAGTCATGTATAAAGGCTGCTCTGAAACTTGACATGTGATTTTAATAGGACCAGATGTGAGAACCACAAGTTATAAGTTAATGATAGAGCTGATTTTCAAATATATAGAAACATAAAATTTCAGAGGTCAATACTATTAGATTCTATTTTGTTTCACTTACACAGCATCTTCCCAGAGAGGAGTGCCTTATATTTTAAACAATGTATTGTGGTCTAAAACTTTCTGCAGCGCTGGTCCTTTAAGCTGAAGGACAGAAAATATGAAACTACAGAATAAATAAATAGAATAAGTGGAGCTAAACTTTGATCTCTGGCCCATACTTGGGCTTTGAGGTGTTCAAAGGCTGTAATTTCAGAAAGCTTAGAAGCATATTTAAAGTCAACTTACCAAATGTGTTGCTACAAATTGATTTGGGAAAGCATGTCTGACACTTTAGGATAATGATTTGCAGTCGCCTTTGAAGTACATCTTTAAAAGCATTACTAAATGAGTAGAATGTAAACCACTTGTGAATACACTTTTATCACCCATGGGTAAGAGAAGGGGAAGGACAGCAAAATAATTGCGTTGGACTTCTAATCTGTGTTGTATGTTCTTAGAATGTGCAGGTTCCAGTGTGTCCACTCTGTAATGCACCCATCCCAATACAGAAAGGGGAAATACCAGATATTGTGGTTGGAGCCCACATGGATAAGAACTGCAAATACAATCCAGCACAGCAAAAGCAGAGGGTAAGGAAATTGCTGCTGAAGTCTAAACTATCTGCCTAATGCTTGTGAAGTTAGGTTTTCTGACAGCAGATGTGCAGAAGCTTGCTCTGTTTCGTCTTGATTCTAAGGGTGCTTGAGCATTTATGCTTCAGCTTGGTCTTTACTTGGGAAGCTGATCACAGAATGGAAGCCAGCATTGCCAAATTCATGTCCTCTGTTATTTAGATCTTCACAAACAAGTGCTTAAAGCCAGGCTGCAGAAGGAAAGAGATGATGAAGGTAGTTTGTGAACAGTGTGGTGGCAACTTCTGCATAAAACATCGGCATCCTCTGGATCATGACTGTAAAGCGAGCAGTCACCCCACCTCCAAGGCAGGGTAAGCTGTATTTATGATACTTTGAGCTCAAGTTGTAATTTCAGAGCTAGTATCGGGTTGGTGGGGAGCTCAGACAAATAGGGAATTCTGTAAGCCACTAGTGACATCAATAAAATAGTCACTACTACTTCTTTGTATTTCAGGCTTAACTTTTCAAAGTCTGTGAGCCAAGATAAAAGCTTGTCAAATGCTTCCCTAAAATTCTTCCAAGCTTACATTTGTCAGTCTCCTAATTGAGACTAGGAACTGGCCCACTCAAGTACTGATTGGGGTCTGGATCTAAATACTAGAATTCTAAAGTTCTGCCCCACACATTGAAGTAACTAAGAAAAATTAATACCCTGCCAAGCTAAGTTTAAACTCAGCTTTATTAAAAATGTCTCTTGCAGGCAGATGTACCTTCATTGTTCTGTGCAATAGGACTGTAAGACTTGTGTGACAAATGCAGATAATTAAACTGGATGGAAGAGTGAAACTACTGGCAGTGTGCATAAGAAGTGCTGAGCCCGGTTGTATTTCTTTTGTAGATAGGCAGCTTTGAGAGCCTCTCAAACTGCCTTCAAGTCAACGGGAGCAATTGGAGTGCCATCTAATGGGAGTCTTCAGCACAACAGGTATAAGCTGGAGAAGGAGAAAAGACAAACACTTTTTAAGAATAGTCTTATGTCAACACAGTGTAGGAGTGTCCCTGTCATACCTCTAACTGTTCTAGAGTTGGTAGTTGACCTTTAATTGGTGTTGGGAATGCAGTAGAGAGACTGTGACAGCACAATTAAATCTTTACTTCTCCGTACTGTAGTGATTAAAATAGCTATATAGACACAAGCATTAGAACATCAAATTGTTGTAACAGCGGGTTCGTCTCCCACCTGCTCAGTGTGAGGCTTGGTCAAGTTCTAGAAGAATAATGTGTCATCAGAAGGAGGAAAACACAGCAAGCATCTGAATTAAAATAAATGGCCCAAGCCCTTCCCTGCCATGTTCTGTCTCCCTGATGGAAAGTTTGAGCTGTGTAACTCTTACAATGCTTATGTCTTTCAGATGCAGATAGTAGAGGCTCTTCGCATCTGTATCAAACCTGTCTACTTTAAAGTCTTGTTTATAGCTCCTGAATTTTCTATGCAATTAATTTATTTTTGTATCATATTGTTTATGCATTCAATAAACTGTCACCCTTTCCAAGCCATCTTTGTTCCTATATTTGGATTAAGAGCTTTAATGCTATGGAAAACAGTATTGGTGGGGGAAATTGGGGAGTGGTGTTAGAGGAAGACTAAACTTAGTATGAAACACTTTGCTTAGGTCATGCTAAGTCTGAACTATGAGTTTCCTAAGATGAAAGTGTGAAATACAAACTACTGTCATATGACTCCATCCTTCTGGATAAGGACTGGTGTACTGCAGCTTTCTGCTTGACAGTGTACATAAATGTGAAGCAATTTTTATATGAGCTGCCTCTTAGATTCTGAATGTCACTGGAAGTACTTGATTTATAAAGCCATACCTAGTTTTTCTAGGTCCTCCCGAAGCAATTCAGAGGCATGCGCAGTATAATTCTTCATAATTTATTGTCCCTTGGATAAAAACCTAATTTTGCATTGTTATTTTTTTGCATCTGGGGGAAAAAAGGAAGCCAGTGAAAGTAGCATTGACTGTTTGTGTTTTATGTAATGAGAATGAGGACAAAATACAGCACTGTCTAGGGAGGCTATTCTTGTCATCCTGAAAAGCTTAAGTGAAGAGGTAACAGATATGCTCCATCTATTATCTTGATCAGTTATTTTGGCTCTTTAAGACTGCATGAATATCCAGCTGCTTAGCTTGAGGCCTGAAATATTGTAGGTTGATGAAATGGAAATGTGCTGTTAATGAACATTGCTAATTCCCCAGCTGGGATCTAAGTAGACCTCTCAACCAACTAATTGTGAGAAAAATGCCAAGCCTTACTGATGATGTCAGGGGGTCAAGACCTCAATTTCATGTGTCATTGGAGCCATTTCTCTGCATGCTGGGGCTGGTGGGCTGCAGTGTTGGCTTAGGACTAACTGAAGGGTAATTGCAGTCCCCTGAATCACCTGCAGCTATGAGTGTCCAATGCTGTTCTGCTGAGGTGGGAGGATGAGCAGTCTGCATAGCAGAGAATGTTGTGTTCCTTGACCTGGGAAAAATAATCTTTGATAATACTGTAAGAGATGTGAGTATAAGTGAAGTTAATGCGTATGCTTTATACAACCTTGAGGTGTACTGCAGTTGTGCAAAGACTTGTGTGCCTCTTGTACTTTAGGCATTAAGCCTCTTCAGAGAGAAACAAGTCCTGTCTAAAGAGGAAATGTGGATTTCTGGTCCTTCACAGGGATATGTAAAGAATCAATGTATTGAGTTGTAGGTCTTTCATCAGAAAGGGCAGAGATAACATAATTTCTAGCCAACACAGAACAAAGTATCTGTATTATCCCATGTTCATGTTTGGCCTGGTGTGATTACTTCACATCCAGTAGAAGTTTTAGAGAAGGTCAAAGCTATGTGGAAGGCTGTAGTTGGCCAAATGGAATATGTACTGCAGCTATGAGTTAGCATTGCTAATTCCATATAGTCTAATTTTATGCACTTGTCAAAGGTGATTTGACAGTATCTGTAATACTGTGTTTAACCACAGGATGTCACAATAGGATATGTAATAAAACAACCATTATTTTTAGCAAGTCTAAACATAAAATACATGCTTTCCCTATTCGCATTGGAACAAACGCTTAAATTACAACTCTAATTTTAGATGCCACCACCTACTGATTATCCCATGCGCTCTAACGCCATAACTCAGCCCTAGTGCATTGCTACAGTACTAGGACTCTTAGAATCTTTCTGTATATCTAACTAGCTATGTGTTCCCACATGATGTGTGCACCCCACTGGTGGTATGGGAAGGGGTTTCCAGTGAAGAGCAGCAGCTCACAGTGCTGTGAGAGTGTGGACCAGAGCAGAGCGGCTCTGCCCAGCCCAGCAGCGATGGGTGGAGGACAGGACAGGCCCCCTGCGGTGTGGAGAGGAGGTGGAAGGAAAGGAAGGTGTGACCCCGGTTTGGACAGGAGAAGGAAGCAGATGTGAAGGTTTTACCTCTTCCCATTGGTGCCAGCGTCTGCTACCACAGCCAGCATCTCAGCTGCTACTGGGGTCAAAGCAAATGGAAGCAAAACCCGTTTCAGGTTGTCATGAAAAAAATTGCTCCATCTGTGTGTGCGTTTCTGGCAAATATTCTTGCCCTTAAATTACCAAGGGCAAATGGAAATGTTTGTGCACATGGTATTTATAGAAAATGAAAACATGGAAACCAGTTTGTTCCCTGGAAGCCTTGTCCTAGCGGATGTTTTCTCACCCCCTCAAACCGCAGCATTCGCCTCTTCCCAGCGCGTCCCTCGGCCCCCATCAGGACAGCAGGTGACCCGGTCTCGGACGCGGAGCCTTCAGGACCCGCCGGCTCAGGAAGCGCCACCGTTGCCCGCAGAACCGCACGGCGCTGCGCCCGCAGCTGCCGCGGCACCCACAGGGCTGGTGCGAGCCTGCTGTGCCCAGCCGCGCCCGGGCTGTGTGGGAGCAGCGGGGCCGCCCTTCCACCGGGTGCCCTCCGCGGCCAGCGAGGGGGGTCCCGCCAGGCCCGGGGGGTCCCTGAGCCCAGCGGGGGCCACCCAGGCAACGGGGGGCGGGGCAAGGTCTGTGGCCCCGCCCCTGCGCGGGAGGGACGGGAATGGCTGCCGTGGCGGATCTGGCGCAGCAAGATGACGTCATCGCGCCTCCAAAAGCCGGCCGAGCACTTCTCAGCACGCGTGTTCCAGGTGGGCGTTTTAAGTCCAAGCGTGGCTTCCTATTGGTCCTCAGGGTGATTGGCAGGCCGCAGGCCAACCAGACGCCTCTGTTCTCTCCTTGTAGCCAGTGAGAGGGAGGGGGCGGGCTGCGGCGCGAAGCGTGGGGCTCAGTTAAATGTGCGGAGGAGGCGGGTCTGAGAGGTGCGTGTGGGGAGGTCGCGCGTTCTGTCCCCCCACCTCATGGGGCCGCCGTCAGGTGTCCGACGGCCGCGGGGGCAGCGGCGGGAACCCTGGGGGTCTCCCTGCCCCGTGGGGGCTGCGGGAGGGTCGGGGCGGCCCGGCCGCAGGCGCGGCGGCGGTGACTGGGCTCCCCTCTCTCGTCCCGCAGCCGCCTGTCCCCGACCCACGCAGAGGGGGGGAACTCTGTGCCGGGCGTGCTCCGCGGAGGAGCTCGTGGGTGGTGCTGGGGCCGGGACAGGAACGGTGCTTCTACCGTCAAAGATGCTTTGGTGGCTGCGCTTGAGAACGTGTTTCTTACGTTTAAAAACTTTCTAGTCACGAAGTCTTAACTCACTCCTCAATTAAAGGAAAAGTAAGACCAGGGCTCTGGGAAGTCAACGTGCCTCCCAAGCGCTGGTCTCCATGGTGGGCCTGGGCCTGGGCCTGGGCCTGGACCGAAGTATGGCTCCCTGAGGGGCCGTTGTGGCAGAAGTGTCGAGGACTTGGGTCCCTGTTGCTCTGTCAGGCAGCACAGGTGGTTCCATCGTTTGTGCGAGTTCAGCTGTATGGCTGCCAACCAAAGTGGGTTTGTTGGTTGGTTTGCCTTTCAGAGTGTGTTTCAAGCTAAATATTTGTGATTAACTGTTGTGTTTGTGCTGTTACACAGAAGGTGACTGTGTTGAGGCAGCTGTTGAAAGCCAAGTAAATCAATTTTCTATCAGAGAAATAATAACTAGACCTGGTTTCAGAAGCAGGTTGTGTGCAAGTCCTGTCTGCATTTGCCCTAATATCAGTGTGAAATGAAAGATAAAACTTGTGAGGCATAATTCTTTTAGGCATGACTTTTCCACATTAATCCATATGAAAACAGAACAACTTGCAGTTTAAATGGAAGTGATGGTTTAAAACTATCTGTTTTGTAATCAAGTAGGCTTACTTTTTGCTTTAGGGTATGTGTGTGCACAGGTATATATAATAGTGACACAACTAACACAATGTATTTTGAGAAGCAAGAGGTCTTGTTGGTGTTATCTGAGGTAGACAACTGATCAAACAGTTCAGTGTGGTGTGTTATGACCTGCAGAAACCGGAGGGTCAGTGAAGCGCTTTCCACAATGGGGCCTGAGAGGACGATGGGTGTTGGGTTTTCTACAGGAGAATGAGTTTTACAGTAGTTTAGCTATAATCTATTGCTAAAGGAAACATGGTGAAAATTCTCCAAAACTGATTGAAATTCAATGCAGACAAGCATTGCATAGTTAGGCAGTCACAAATAATTCTTGTACTGGTATAATTATAGTATAACTATATATATGAGACTGGCATTTAATACAAAAAAAAAAAGGTTCTGATTGCTGTTTGATGGTTTCCCTTACAGAATAGTTCTATTTTAGAATGCCGAAAATGAACGGGGAAAAAAAAGAGAAGGCAGAAAAAAGAAAAAAGCTAAAGCAACATGTGGCCCAGAAGGGAGAGCTGGAATTGGAAACTGAACCAAAGAAAAAGAAACAAAATCTGCAGGTAGGTTCTCTCAGTTTTTATTATTTAATTCAATAACATGTGGATGTATTGTTACCTGTGATGTGATGGGTTTAGAGATTCAGTGCTGAATCTGAGTGTACTGTTTGATTCAGTTGCAATGATTCCTTGGATGTGATATATGTAGCATGAAAGTGAAAAAGAGAAGATAAGTTAAGCCAAATCTGGATATGATTGTAGCAGATAAAGTACATGACTTCTGTTTGTTTTGGATACTTCTGTGAAAGAGAATGGGTGAAAGAATATAGGTGAAAGGTGAACCAAATGGCTTTAAGCAACTGTCATATGGCGGTATAGGCGTAGCTTAAGTCTTCATGTGATCCTAAGTGGCTGGAAAAACATGAAAGATATTTTCTTGGAAATCCTCTTGATTTTTGGACAGCATGTAAAGTGGCCAGAAGGTGTCAGCAGTCTCTTTGTATTACTGAACATTTTATGAAATAATTTTCTGAGAAGGAAATTAGCAATATTGAGATGTTATTTAAGTGGAAACATAGAGATGGAAGTTTTTTGTGATGGAAGCATTTCATAAACAGGGTGATTCAGTTCTCCTGAGTGGTTACTGTAGAACATGGATCAAAGAAATATGAAGCGGTTTGATACTGTTGAGAAGTGGAGAAGGAAGGGAAAAGGTTTTTTCCTCAGGAATTCTCAAGTTTATGTTAAGCCGTGGCCTTAAAAACTCACTTATGTTTCCTGGCCTAAGATAAAATAGATGTGAAAGCTGCTTGTTAATTCATTTATCATGAGATGTATAGCTCAGCAGAGATCATGTAACTAAGTAGTACTTATTATTTTATTATTAGACTTTTTTTTAAGATCATTGTCAAGAATATTTTTTGAGACACTTCTGCATGCCTAAGAAAAGCCAACCTGTTGGCAGTATCTTTTCAGAGGTGTGTAAATTCTTGCAGTTTTGAACTCAGCAGAGATGTTCCTAAGTAAAGATTGCATCTTTGTCTATATCAAAGCAAAACCAGAAAATTTGTTATTTACAGTTTAATAAGAGCAAAGGTTTATGCTTTCCTTTGTAAGGGTCTATATTACAGACTTCAGATTCACAGTACTATAATTCCATTTGAGTGAAAATAATTTTCCAGGATAAAACAGTATGAAATGTCAATTAAAATGTTATTGCCTCTGTCAATCTGTATAATTTCATGTAAAAGTAGAAAAAATCCCAAGTGGGCTTCAAACCTCTAGCAAGTGTGGGCTTTTTTGGACTGTTTGATGTCAAGTGAGAAGTTCTTACAACCCCCAAATTAGTTTTTGTTGGCTGTGCAGACTGTGGGACTGTGAAAGAAAGAGCAAATATTAAATGTAAAGAAGTATTCTTAATACTATTAGAGAACACCACTAGGCACAACAGTTCTTAGAATTCTAAAAGTTGGTGTCGGTGGGTGGCTTGAACATGTATATGGTGTTGGTTTTAGGGAATACCATATAAGGTCTATGACAAGCCATTTTTTGGCATCAGCTTTATAAACTATAACTGTTGATAGTAGGAAAGCATAAGTTAGTAGACCACTTTTTTGTTTTGTTTGAAATGGCTGTTGCAAATGAAAAATGTTGGGCAGATATTAATATTACTTCAGAAATGGTTAATGAAAGTCAGCTGTTTATCAGTTTATGATTGCTACTTGGCATGTGTACTCATAGATTTGTGTGAAATAGTTAAGTCACAGTGGCAGTTATGCTTTAAAATGGGTTTGGTCGTCAAACGTTGTCAGCACGGAAAATGTAGTAGAAAACAAGATAAAATTTCTTTGTGTGTACAGGAAGATCAGGAGGAACTCTGAGGCTGCACTGATGTGCTCAGTCTGGATGGTTCCAGAGAATAAATTTGGAACACAAATTAAGGCAGCTGCTGAGAGTGTTTATTCTGCAGCCTTCCTTTCTTTAATTTTATTTCTGTTATTTTAAAATAAGTTGGAACCTTGATAGGTCTACAGAAATTCCTGAATCATCATGACTGGATTCTTATGAGCTGTGACTGACTTTTAATGCAGTAACTGAATTTAAGAAAACTTTTTTTTTGTATTCTTAAAGTAAGGATGGGTAGACTTCAGTTTCTCCTAAGCAGCCTCATGTGATGGAAAGAAGTTGAAAGATAGCTATCTAACATGTTGCTTTTGGTAGGAGAGAGGTTTCTCTGGTTCATTAGGTCACTCCACTTCCCTGTGATTTACTTTTTTTATTCAAGTACAGCAGTTTTAGCCTCCAACGTGGAAAACGTAAATCTCTAATTGATTTTTGTTATACAGCTGCAGGCAGGCAAGTTGAAATGTGTCTTAAGTGACTGGATTTAGTGTATATTGATCATTCCTTTGTGAAATTTGTTTCAGAAATTCTTACGAGCCTAAGACTAAAGCATTTTTCCCTGGAACAACTTGACCTTTCAAAGTAATCTTGATGTTTTATTGATTTTCATCTACTCATTTTTTTCTGTTTACATTAAATAGCAATGAGCAATTCAAGACCAATATAAATGTTTTCATGAATGATCTTAGAACCACGTAACTCTAAATAACACATCTCTAGTGGAGCTGAGCAATACAAGTTTTTAAACGTAATTCAGCCCTTTTTCCATACCGTTTCTCTTTTATTTAACTACATGGCAATAAACTCCACATTTTAAACATTGATTTTTTTTTTTTAATGCCTGGACATTAGTTTTACTTGTTTTTTAATGATTTTGTAGTTTACTAACATACTTGTATGTTAAACCTTCTGATAGCTTGAGTTTATTATTTTGAATTGTCACATAACAGGCATAAAGAAAGAGATTTAAAATGTGCCATCCAGACTGAGGGTCTGAAGTTAAATACTGGCTTCTTAAATAAAAAAACTTTCTGATGGACCTTGCCTGAGACAAATTAATTTTGTTTCAGTTCACTGAAAAAAAAAATTAAAAAAATTACAGTATTGTTAACATGTCATCTTCAAATAACAGAAGCATTAGAAGTGCTTGTTTGCAGTTACCCCTGTTTTGCTTCTGTTTATGGATTTGTTCACTCTTCAAATTTCAGCTGCCTTAGTGCCACGAAGCTTATTGAAACATTAGTACTGACATAACACTGCATGTAGAAAACAACATGTGGTTGCTTTGTTTATGAAGGTTATTTGAGTTCTACCCAGAATGACCTTACTGTATCAAAAGATCTTTTAACCTTGTAATTTAAGGGTAGATCTTGCTTTTCCACTGCTGTTTTCAGAGCTGCAGGCTTTCCACAGAACACTAAGAAATTCTTCCAGACTTGAATATCTTATTAGGCAAGACTAAAAATTCATAATCCGTAGAAAACAATATTAATGTCCCGTTCCTTCTCAGTTTAGTCTAGTAAACATTGTAACTTTAAGGGAAATTACAATGACTAAGAGGCAGTCAATCTTTATAAATCAAATCCCGTTGTTCATGGTGGAAGGGTACTTTAGGTAATGCTGATACAGTCAGTGGGTGTTTCCTTGTACGTTCCTTCTTATCTTCAGCATTGCAAACGGTTGGGAGGAGGAGGAATCCTTTTCCCCAGATAAAGGCAAAATGAGTGGGAAAGGAATTTAATTTTTGAGATTCCATACAGATAGTACAAACAATGGCAAATAAACAAGTAGCTCATGCTGTTTCTTTAATCAGAGGGCTAGCGTGCAGGTGCCCAAATAGTAAGATCCGTTTACTAAATGGAAAATGGCAAAATTAGTAGGGGGAAAGGTTTTTCTGTTCAGCTTTTTGGAGGTTATCATAAAGACCAATGCGGAGTTGTTAAGCTAGTACTAAAGCACAGGAAACCACAAAAAGATGATTCTTTAAAATCATTGTTTGCTTGTAGTGGTGGAAAACTCCATAAAATTATGTTTAAGCTGTAGAGATAAATGTTTTGGCATGAGCATGGTGGAATACCTAGGTGTGCTACTTTGATATGATTTCTGTTGCTGTTTGTAATCAGGTAACTGGGGTAGTGATTTGACTGTTTAATGAATGCAAACCAGACATTCATGCTAGAAAACCTATCAAGCAGATACTGTAAAGCTATCATCGGAAACTGTATTTATTTATTTGACAACTCACTAATTCATACCAAAGCCTGTTATGGAAATAATGAGTTGTGGATGATTTGCAAACAAACTCAGTAATCCTTTATTGTTCCATTAATTTATTTTTTTAATGAATGGAAGCTTATTTTGTAACCATCAAAATATCTTGTTCTGTATTTTCCCATCCTAAAAAAATGTCATGAAGTTACAACTTAGTGTGATGTTGCAGGATTTTCTTCTGATTACTAGGCTACCAAGATTATCCATTTCTCATAAATGTTTAAAATACATTTTGGAAACTGCTTGCATTGTAATTCCACTACCAGCTCTTCCTGCATTTGTTTAGTTTTGCTTTATGAGCTTAATCCTCTGTCATATGCATCAGTGTTATTTGGGGTTATAATTTTTGTTTAAGAAATATGTAGAAAACCAATCTTAAATACTGAAAAAAGGAGAATAAATTCCAAAAAGCCAATTTTATTTACCATAACCTCTTAAAATAAGAATCTTGTACTGGGGTTTTTTGACCATTTTAAAAGTATCCCTAACAGTCAAATAGAGTTTTGTCCATGTTATGAAGAGAAGATGACATAATCTTTCATCTTCTCCCACATCTGTCCATCTCCCCCCACACCTTGATGTAAGGATACATCAGCAGTTAGCAGTTTTCTGGCGATAAAGAGGGGGTGATAACTATTTCTCAAATTGGTGAAGTTAAATGTCAGTGTGGCTATTAGTGTGCCCTTGTTAGTCTGCTGGTTTTGGTCAGTCTATAATTGAAATATTTGGCCTATTTCACTTTTCTTTGGGCTACCTTTCAGTTGAATGTTTATTTTTGTTTTGTTTGTATTTTCTTTTACTTGCAAAAAGAGACAAGTTTGCTGGCCTACTGGCTTATTGCCTCACTGTACGATGGCCTTCTCATAGTTGAAAAAAAATTATGAAGCTGT